TAGTTGTTCACCAATGACTACTCCTAACCAACACTTTAGCAAACGTGAAGGGAAACAAAGATATGTACATACACAAACATGATAGAGAACACATATATACAAAATAAACAAGTATGTCAAACAAGTATAAAGCAAACATATATAAATATAGACAAGTATGGAAAACATGTATAACTATACAAGTATGGAAAACATAGACAAGTAAGTATACAAGTATAAATATAAAAATGTAAATACAATATAGACAATATGCACAAAACTCAAAAACATAGAAATTAGTGCAATGCTTTCAATATTAAAACACCAATCCCCGGTTACCACACCATTTTGTTGCTGGGGTAAAGCAGCAAGCAAAAGTAAGTATTTTGTTTTATCATCTCCACGGGGATTAGTGCGAGGGATCACATGTTGTTCAATAATATCCATGTTTCTAAGCTTTAAATTGAATGATAGTTGAAATTTATGGTACAGGCAACACACAAATATCCCAACATCAGAATGATATTAAGACTGATGTTATAACATCTAGTAGTAGACTAGATTATTTAAGCCATAAGTGATACAGAAATAAAACTGCAGAAAGATAAATAACACATAGAGTTGTTAACCCAGTTCGGTGCAACATCACCTATTTGAGGGCTACCAAGATAGAAATGCAGTCCACTATCAGCAATATTAGTTCAAAGCTAAACTCCCCTATTTACAACTTCTCGCCTAATCCATACCCAATGCTAATTCTACCTAGGCACCTCCAAGATATGAGAAATCACCATCTCACTTCATAAATCACTTCAGTGATATCTAACAGTCCCAATCCCAGTGACTGTAACAAATACAACCCAATTTAGAAGATTACACTTCAAATACAAAAACTCAAACTCTTGCTTAAAAGCTTCGAGTGAGAATAATAAGTTGACTAACAGTCAAGAAACAATCAGTCGACCACATAGTATCAAAAGATACATGGGTGACTTACAAAGTACACAAGAGACTCTAAAACCTGAGACTTATGTTTCCCCTAATTTTACAACTGTTGAAAATTTAAATTACATTAGGTTAGGATTCCCCTTTAAATACAATTTTGCAGTCCATGGGCTTCGATATTCTGAGTCCATAAGTTTCTTGATCCATAAGTTGAGTGATGCATCAATTGCATAGAAAATATCCTTAAATCTTGGAATAACCAATACATAGTTTCCTAAATTGTTTCAAGGCTCAATTTAGTAACTTTTGCATAACTGGAGATACAAATATATTCCAAAACAAATCTTCTTGACCTGCAAAAATATCTGATATATATCCAAAGGAAATATAACCGAGTCAAATTAAATCTGTCAAGATTTAAAAACAATAGCGCAAGCATGCTGCATATCAGAATAGGATGTTACGACATCTTGTTTAACATCTGGTCAGAATCATGTTTTAGCAAAACGTTTTCAATCTACAAAACCATGATACTAACAATAGTTATACAGTATATAATGTAAACATGGACAAGTAAAAGTAATGTTTTGGAGAGAAAGAAACTTGTCAAGATTAGGTTTCATTTACAACAAGAATATGCATTTCTACAATAAGTTGCACACAATCTAAACATTCATCAATACCATCACATATGATTCAAAAAATCATTTATTCCTAAACAACTATTGAGAGTTGAACCTATTAATCGATGATGTCTCAACACATTAAACATTTTCTACCTTATTGTTTATTCAAAGATGTCTTAAAAAATTAAACAACAAGAAGTATTAAAAGTCGATACTCTTTGTGAATGTTAGCCTAAATCTATTTCTAGAGTTTAGAAACTAACACATGTTCATCTTAGTTCAATTTTTTGACCATATTTGCCAATAAGAATCTGAACCCATTTAGATAAAAGGTAAAACAAAGATAACATCAATATAGATTCAAGCATAGGTTGTAAACAATACCATGATTAAAGAAAATGTATAAGAATATGATATACTTACATACAATCCCAACAAAAGAGGGTTTAAACTACTTACATAGAAAAATACAAAGAGAAGAGAGAAAATTAACAAACATCAACCTTGATGTCTCAACAATCGATGCAAATCCATCTATGGGTGTTCAAGATGCATCCTCTATTGTTGATTTCTAAGCATCTAACACTCCAAAATTGGTGTCTCACCCTAAAATATGATGGAAACCCTAAAAATGGTGAAACCTCTTTCTCAAAATTGGGTCACACCCTAAAAAATATGATTAGAACTCTATTTATACACTTTCAAAGTTGCAGGTTGCACTTCCACTTATTGCACCAAACCGCCTTATACTGCAGAGCGCGCTTAGCTCCAAATTTGGGGCTTAGCCCGCTCCGCGCTTAGCCCGCTACCTTATGTCCAGAAAATTCCAAGCACGCTTTGAGCATGCTTAGCCCGACCTGTAGTTTTTTATTTCCATCCAAAAATTGTATCTTAAAGCTTTATTTGCCTTTCAATGCTCAATGCTTCAATAATGCGAACAATCATAAAAAAAAAAAGAAAAAAATTGATTAATCTATACAATATTTACATGATATAACTATAAAGCTATTATTTACACTAAAGTTGAGGTTTTAACATGAATATGAAATGAATTGAGTTAAAAGACACCACTAAACTATAATAAATATTAGCACAATTTAGCCCCTAACAACTCTCCCCAACTTAGAACTTTGTTTGTCCTCAAATAAAAGTCACACAAATGAAAACAATCACTTCCCACATTTTCAAGAAATAAAAAATTATTCACCCTATCGTCTTTGCTCATTTTCTATAACCTTGATCTTATTATAGTTTTCCTTTTTATTTTGTTTTTCCTTCTTTTCTTTTCTTTTTCACATCTTTCTCATTTTTTATTTCTTTTTTAACTACTTTATTTTTTTCAACCACATAGCAATCATTCTTTAAGCAATCAATATTTTGTCTCCCCAACTTTAATACAATCAAACATCATTACATGAATTGCATCTTAAAACTTTATTTGCCTTCCAATGCTCAATGCTTCAATAATGCGAACAATCCTACAAAACAAGGAAAAAATTGATTAATCTATACAATATTTACATGATACAACTATAAAGATATTATTTACACTAAAGTTGAGGTTTTAACATAAATATGCAATGAATTGAGTTAAAATGCACCACTAAACTATACTAAATATTAGCACAATTTGGCCCCTAACAGTCTTCCATTTTTTTGGTAGGTCTTGATGTTCTGCATTTGCTTCTTCAACTTGCATCTCTTTAGTTAGACTTTGACCTTCCTCTTGTCCTTGATATTGATCTTTATTTTAACCGTTAACTTCCAAAGATGTTTTCTCAAGGATACAAGCACAATTTACAACCTCTACCTCTACAAACAAGGGGTTAGACTCTTTAAAATGAACTTGAATTGATTCTTCTATCATTAGGGTCCTTTTATTAAAAATTCTTAAGCTTTGATAAAAATGTAATATCCTAAGAATACGCCTTCAATACTTCATCATATTTCACTTCAAATTTCCCAAAATTATATTTTTCGTTGTTCAGGAAAAAATATTTGAATCTGAAGACATGTAAGTGATAAATATTTGGCTTCCTTCTTTTATACAACTCATATGACGTCAGCTTTAGAATTGGTGTTATAAAGACATGGTTCACTACATAGCAAGAAATGCATACTTGGATAGTCCAAAAGTATTTAGGAAGGTTAGTGTCGTTGAGAATCATCCTTGGTAGCTCTTCTAGAGATCTAGTTTTTCTTCTCTACTACCCCTATTTTGTTGGGGAGTTTACGGAGTGGAAAATGTATGCAGAATTTCATCCTAATTATTAAACATTTCAAAATCCTTATTCTGTAATTCTCCACCATTGTCACTTTGGGTTGATGCAATGCTTAATCCTTTTTCGTTATCGATAACCCTTTCAAGTTTTTCAAAGGCAACAAACATGTCACTTTTCTAAGGTAAGAATAATATCCATGTATAGCGAGAGTAGTCATCTAAAACTACAAGGGTGTAGAGATTTCAGCCGATTTTTTTAATATTTTGGATGGGCCAAAAAGATTCATATGCAAAAGTTGTAAGGGTCAGTTTATAGAGACAATATTTTTATGTTTAAATTAGGCTCTTACTTGTTTACCCTTTTGGCATACATCACATATTTACTTTTCTCTAAACATAAGTTTGGCAAGGCAATCACTAAATCCTTGCATACAAACTTGTTTAAAAGGTCAGTGCAGATATGGGCTATTCTCCAATGCCATAGACAAGATTCATTCTCATTACTCATAAGACAAACATCATTTGAAGGAATCTTATTTAGATTCACAGTGTAGGTGTTTCCACTTCTAGAGCTAGTGAAAATGGTTTGATCAAATTTTAATTTGGTAACTCTGCATCTAGAAGAATTAAAGGTTTTATTGTTACATGTCTCATAATTGACTAATGCTTAGTAAGTTGTACTTTAAACCTTCAACTAAAAGAGTATTAACAATCATTGGATTACGGAAGTTATAAATGGTACCAATACCAATGATTTTCCCTTTGTTGTTGTCCCCATAAGAGACAAAACCTCCTTTCCTGGGAGTGAAAGAAGAAAACATAGTTTTGTCTCTGATCATCTTCTTTGAATAACACATATTAAGATATCATTTAATGTTTGATACTATAAAGAACGCATGCACCAAAAACTTAGGTATTAACTTTAGGTACCCAAATTATTTTGAATCCTTTAATGTTAGTTTGAAAAGTATTCACACTAGATTTTTCAAGAGGATCATAATTGCAGAAATATGTAGTAGACATGTTTTCCATTTTGCGTTCATGATGCTTTTTATAAAAATATGAAGTAGGATGATCATCTATGAGTCCACCCAACTATATTTTCTTGCACTATCCCACTTCACTAAAGTGAATCCTTTTAAAGGTATATTTTCAGCTTGAAAGATCTCGAAGGAATTAAGCCAACTGACACCCTCTGACCGAAATCCATCAACTAGATGATCCTTAACCTAAACGTCACTCGGATACCGATTATAAGAAGTATGGTAAGCCGTGATGGAATTTAGGGCTTCTTCCTTATTCAAATCATCAACCTTCATCTCTGGGATGATTAAAGCAGGAGAAACTGAAGCTCCAACAACTTCAGATGATGCAAGCGTAGAGTTGATTGTGTGACCATTCCTCACGTCCTCATCAGAAAAAAGAGCACAAAAGGAAGACGCATTAAAATAAGCTTCCCTACCCAAAGAACCACTATACAATCTCTCAGACTATGAATCATCAAATACAAATATAATGACAAAAATCATTGATCATTAACAAACCGATGAAAATCTAAACTAGAGGACATTGTTGCCCTAACTAAAGGAGAAGAACCACTACTCTCAGAACTGCTAGACAAGCTTCTGGGATGGTGTTATACCCCAATTTTTATCCCTAAGATCCCTCATCATACTCTGTTCATCTCACACATAGTATTGGTCCCATGATTACGAGATCGAAGAGCTTTTGGCGTTAAGGTTTTTCTCTGTGGACTAAGGTTGTTACATTATTCATGTTGATCTAGCTAGTGCTCTTATCATTCTTGGTACTATATTAAGGTATTGGAACTCTGCAGCACTGTATGTATTGTAGTTTGTCATTCATTCCAATAGAAAAACAAAATCCCTGATCTGTAATTTATTCAGTTGAAGAACAAATGTGAACAATTCTTAACATGCTGTGAACATGAAGGAAAAGAATACTAGCTCTGTTCTCAAGCGTATTTTAGTGAATTGTAATTCTCAGGCAAGAGCATATTGGAGTTGTGTTGCAGCTAAGGTTCCAGACATTGAGCATGATGTGTGTTTAAAGGAGTTTCTGGTATTAAAAATTTGTATGCAAAATACGCTAAAAAAGAAGGGTTAAGTGAACATCCATCTTGTGATACGGTGGGCAGAACTGACTGTTTTTGGAATGCTGGTTTGTGTTTTGCGTTTGTTTTTGCAAAATATCGCGGTAAGCAAGAGTCGCCACCGTCTTTTATTTTATCCAACAAGGAAAAGAAAAAAGCACAGAAAAATTCCTTTTTCGAGATATTTCTGAGTACAAGGGGTAGATTATAGAAAGGGAAGGTATTAACACCCTTTCTATCCGTAGTTATCTACGGGCTCTTAGGTACTTTCTCATCATTTTCAAAATTGTTTTCTTTGTGATTGTGGGTTTTGAAAAGGTTTTGTTTTAACTTCGATTTAACTCTTGCTTCTGTCTTCAAGAGTGTAATGAAGTGTTTTGAAAACTTGTTTGTAAAAAAGTGTAAGTGTGAAAAAGTTTTGTTTTGGATGAGCGAGTATCTAAGAACTAATCTACCTACTCGAAAAAGGAATCATTCTATGTTTGTTTCCTTTAGACAATGCTATCCTACTATTAGTGTGTAGGCAGCACCGTCGTTGGAGTTTGGAGGGTCAATTCGAAAGAGGCACATATGGCCACTAAAGCAATGTTAGGACGTCTTAGCGGTAACCCTAATGTCTTAGATCATTTATTCGAGGCAACAATATCTGAGGAAACCATTTCGAGGCAACTATGATCTTTTAGACAAGAGGGCGACCTCTAAAACAACCTATACTTAATGACCGTGTACAAAGGCAACCAAGTGGGAGTGTACCTTAGGAGTGCGCATGTGCGAGTGTGTTGATTTCAATTATTTTTATCTTTGCACAATTAAGGGTGATCTAACGGTTTTAAAATTCAGACATTCATTCTTGTCATGCAAACCCTATTATCAAACATCTAGCAGTTGAATATTTGCAAAAATTAAAGGTGCGGAAATTAAACTAAATTATTACAAGGTGTCGGGTATTTACATCGCCAAAAACAACCCTTTGAAAATAAAAGCGGTAAAAGTAAATTTCCTAATTAAATTATTACAAGCCGGGAGCAGATATAATAATTGGATAAAATAATAATAAAGCGCGCGATGCGAAATTAAATCGAATGCGAAATTAGTGTTTTGACCTGCTTAAAAGAAAATGTTTTTGTTGTTTTTATTTTTTAAGAAAATAAATTAAATCCTAAAATTAAATGATAAATTAGTTATTAAATTAATTAATGAAAAATAATTAAGTGACCTATTTTTGGATTTTTGGTTATTTTAGGAAAGAAATAAAATAATTAAACTAATGTTAAAACCTAATTATTTTAATTGATTTTTTATTATTTGCAAAATAAATTAAAGTTACCTAATTAATCAACCTAATTAAATTAATTGATTTATTAATGAAAAATAAATTTCTGAAATTTAATTGGGGTAAAAAATATTTTTTAGTGATTTTTGATAAAAAGGAAAATCATTTTATTGGTTAGTAAATAAATAAGAATAATTAAATAGAATAAATATAATAAAGAAAATATGAGAAATGGGCATGAGATAAGGGGTGTAGAAAGCAAGAAATCTGGCCCAATTGAGGAGATTCAATTTGACTTTTTGCAATCCTGTGCATTGCGTTTAACTGGCCTTTTGGTGCACCCTCAGTGGTAGCCACCAGATTTGGCCATCTGGCCATCTGGCATGTTGATGCTGAAGGCATACGGTGGACATTAGGCTTGAGCGTGTACTGGATCACCTGAAATGTTTAAGAAAAATAACAAATGCTGGAGGCAGGGATCGAACCCCTGACCTCCAGCCTCCCACGCCTTGAACACACACCTATTAACCACTACGCCAGTTGCTTTTTATTGTTAATATAATACAAGCTCATAATAATATAAGAAAACAGATATTAATGGAAACAAAAATATAAAAAAACGCGCGCTCGTTTAAATAGGCCAATGGTGAGACGACACTTCATCGTCTCCTTCCTCTGCACCGCGGCTAAAAACCCAATGACATATACCCACGGACGTTGTCCGTTGCTACAAGTCAGGCTCATTCTAAAATCTCCCACAGGCCACATAAATGGAACCTAGTACCAAGGTTGAGTTCGTCTCCTTCTTATAAACGCAGTGGTACCCATTACTAAGGTTAATTGTACCTGAAAACGAAAACCCTAAAAGCAAACTCGAAACCCTAATAATGGTGAATTTCGATTCAGTCCATATAAATGAAATTGGCTATTGGCAAAAGCTTGCAAACATCATGGTGATCAAGAATATGCAATTATTTTACGCCATGGATGCAAGAATAGAGCTTTTCGAATTCAAGAAAAGGGTGCTTTTAATTGCTTTAGGTTGTGGAGAATGCCAGGAAGCGATTGGTATCAATAGCAAGCTTTGAGAATGCCTCTAATGGTGATTTCAAACTCACACTTTTCTTTGATTTTTTTAGATTTTGTTTGCTCTATAGCGCCTGTCTCCAACATTGTTTTTGATCTGCACACAACGCTTATGTAACAAAGAATGAATCCAAGTCTATAATTGATCCAAATCTCCCTCCTTTAATCCTTTTTGATTTGATTTGATTTGCTTCTTTAAAACTTTCCAAACATGGTCCAAATCCAATCTCTTTGTACACATATGGCTTGATGTGAATTTGATGATGGCTAGCTGTGATTTAAGACCTGAAATCATCACAAAATCTCTTGTTATCAATGTTTTGGATTTTTATTTGATTTATTTTGATTTAAAACAAATTAATTCAAATCAAAATCAAAATAATTAATAAAAATATGATATGGACAAGTGTCAAGGGCTAGAGCACGTGGGCTATTATTCCAACTCAAAAAAAGTGAAAAAGAATGGGCCCATTTGGCAAAATTTGAAGTTTTCGGGATAGTTGACTTTTGGCAATTTTGCAAAAAAGGTCAACTTCAACAATGCATAACTTCCTCAATTTTGAACTTTTGGAGGTGTTATTAGACTTTTTAGAAAGCTTTATATGTCCTCTAATCAACCCTTTTTGTATCATCTCAATTTGATATTCCATGCTCATGTATGAAGCTTTGACAAAAAAGATGTTTTTGTTGACTTTTCAAAATGACCTATAATGTCCAAATTCATAACTTCTTGTGAGTGCATATTTTTATCTTTGGAGATGAAGATGGATTGTAGGGAATTTCATCCTCTTAAAAATTAGCTTTGGATAGGTCATTTATCATAAATTATGAGAAAGTTATGCTTGGTCAAAATTGAGTTGACTTTTCCTACAAAACCCTAATTTAGCAACTTTTGAATCTTGATGAATTATGAGCAATCCTTGATGAATCATGATCAAACCTTTATCAAATGATGAAATATACTTCAAAATGAGGATTTTGACCAAAAATCTTGAAGTTTGACTGTATGTAGGTCACAGTTGACTTTTGCCCTAGCACAGTCGATTTTTGGACCTTTGAGCAATTGACTTAGCAAACTTCCTCTGTAAGGCTTGAAACTTGACATGGATGATCTTGAGAACATATTAGTACATTGGTGATAACTTGGGGTCACTTGGACTCAAGGATATTTATGCAACATGAAACCCTAATTTGAGGTAGACTGCCTTAGGAGAGAGCTTATCTGGCCAACCCTTGAGTAACTTTGAGCAACTTGGAGATCTTTCTTGCAATGTTTTGAGAAATATGGGAGGGAAAATTTTGGGGTACAACACATCTCCTTCCTTGTTCTGGACCACTGAACAAACACAATTATTTATTGACAGTTATACAAATTTCCAACTATCATTCTAAATAGGAAGGTCCTAAAACTTTTTGTGGCAAAGTTTGTTTCATATCCCTGGTATTTATCGTATAAACAAGAACCAGTTATATGTATGGAAAAGCAACAACCTCGAGTCATAGTATAAGTCTTAGAGGATCTGGTGGTCTTTGACATGCTTACATTCAGTACCCACTGCTTTAATGTAATGTTCCTGGATCAAGGGGAATATTTTATGATGATGGAAATAAGTTGCCACTCTCCCTAACTACTGACCAGGTCTTTTCATGGAAAGTTAGTCTCTTTGATCCTCTCATTGGTCCCACCACTGACTCAATAAGTGAAGGCCCTATTATAGCTATTCAGTATTCTTTAGACATAAAGGATATAACAATTCAGCGATCGGGCCATGAGATACAATTTTGGGATAGATAAACTGCATAAACGTTTAGCCATAAGTGCAGGGCAGAATCCGAAAGTATACTTGGATTTTTTTGGACACAGTCAACAATGTGATATTGTTATCGTTAAGACCACTGGTCTAGACTTGTGTGCATATAAGTCAGAGTCAAAATCACTCCAATTAGTGGAAACAAAGAAACCGAATGTTAGTTCGTATGTTTATACACATGAAATATGAGGCAAATAGTAAGCTCGTATTAGCATCTGAAGACATCTTTATTGTTACTGTTTATGGTAGGATATACTGCTTGCAATTTGATAAGAGTTTCAATGCTACTCCATTCCTATAGGCTATATCGTGATGTAGTGATACAGCAGGAATCTTTATCAATTTATTCCAACAGGATTGCTGTGAGTGTGGTCGATAATGTACTTCTTATTCACCAAGTTAATACAAAGGTTGTTATAGTTTATGATCTCTTTGTAGATTCTCGAGCACCAATATCTGCACCACTTCCTTTATTGTTAAGGGGTTTCCCAAGGTCCAGTTCTACATCTCAATTTAGTGGTAGAGAAAGTGAGAGTTCAGATGTTAATATTGTGAGTAGCCATGAAGCAGTTACATATATCGATACATGGAATTTCCTAGTCCCTGATCTCGTGTGCGATATGGCCAATAAGCTATTATGGAAATTCAATTTAGACTTAAAAGCAATTTCTGCCAGTAACTCAAATGTCCCATCAGTATTAGACTTCCTGCAGCGGCGAAAGTTGGAAGCTAACAAGGCTAAACAATTGTGCTTGGGTATAATGCAGACACTTACTATAGAGCACAGACTTGTGCGTGTGGTTGTCAAGGCTATAAATGTACTAGTTACCTCGTACTTCCATTCAATTAAAACTTGTAGCTTATTGAATGGGATGAAACCAGAGATGACATTAAACTATGGTGCACAAAATGCTGATGCTGATGTATCTGCTATAAAAAGTGATGTAGTTGGGAAATCGATCGTACTTGAATCTACCACTAGAGTTGACGGTGGAACTTTGGATTCTGAGGATGAATCACAGTTTACAAATCTTAAACACAGTTCAAAGGAGGCCCTTGTTGGGGGTAGTGTAAACAATTTGAACTCCCCTCGTAATGAAGGTCATCGTTCTTATGCTATGCAATCATCTTTATTGTCTGCCCAAGAGGATTCCCAACTTACTGCAGCAGCAATTTCACCTGATGAGATGTAAAACTTTGTCTTTTCTCCCATTGATGAAGAGATGGTGGGCGGTCCTTCTTACTTGGTTGCTATAATTATTGAGTTTCTTCACAGTGTAAATTTGGGAAAGATTCATGTGGCCCCAAATCTATATGTATTGATAATTCAACTTCTGGTGTGGAATGAACGTTATGCTGAGTTGGGGTTGTTTGTCGTAAATAATATTTTGGAGCCTTCTAAGAAAGTTGCGTTGCAACTCCTGGAGTCTGGACGTCAGAACACCCAAACTAGGAAGCTTGGTCTGGATATGTTGAGACAGCTTGGCTTACATAATGATTATGTATTGCTTCTAGTGTAAGATGTATACTACCTTGAAGCCCTGCGATATGCACGGAGGTACAAGGTGGATACCATTCGACCGTCATTGTTTTTAGAAGTAGCTTTTGTATCCAACGAATCCCAACATCTTGCTGCAATTCTAAGATTCTTTACAGATTTCCTTCCTAGCCTCAAATTATTACCTTGATGTGCTAGTGATAACCAAATTGCAGTTCATCCAATAAACAAGTTCATAGAAGGTAATTCGAAGTCGGTCCTCGCAAAACAGGTCCTTGCATTAGGTTCACAAACAACTTATCGGAAGAAATCATTTCATAATCAAAATGGGGCCAATTTCATAACAGTTTTTGTGTGTGCAGTAGTTCAATAACAGAAGTAACAAAAAAACGGTTAAATAAAGGAGTTTGAAACTCAGGAAAAAATAAGAAATCATTAACTCAATAACCAAATTTTCCAGCTTGTTTAACTATCCTTTAACTGGTTCTCAAATAAATAAAAAACAAAAACTAATCTCTAGTAATTCCCTAACAAACTTTCTCACAACAACTAAAACAAAAAATAACTTATAACTAACTGCCTAACAACCTAGTACAATAACTAATCGCCTTCCAACTAACTCCTATAACAGAGTCTCATCTAACAGAAAATTAACAGAGAAGCTGAAGCTCCTAACCAACTGCAACGATCCCAAACCAAATTCCAGCCTACTTTTTTTTTTCTAAATAGAATTAACTACTTTCCTAAATGCCTCCTAACAAAATCCTCAATAGTATGCATAACAGAACAGGGAAGGATATAAGAGATGCGTAACAGAATAGAAACAAAATTAATAAGAGAAAGAGGGGGAGATGGATTCATAATAGAAAATGAAAAGTTAACAGGAAATTCACCTCTGAATATTTGGGTGATTTTTCTGAAGCATTCTCCATCTTCATCTTCAATCTTCCTTATTCTTGAACCTGGCTTAAAAAACTTCTGGAATCTTTAACTTCTATTCTTCCGAAGTTTCTCTTCGTTGTTCCTCCATCATTATTCCCCATCATCTTCACCAATTCACCTTCTTCATCTTCAATATGCAATAACAAAAAAAATGCAAGCATCAATGTCAAGAGTCTCACACAAGACACAAACGAAAAATGCGTACCTGATTTGAAGATCGAAAGAGCAACTGATAGGTAAATGTTGTTATTCCTTTTGTCATTTTATGCAATTCTGCACTGCGTCTTTTTCTTTCGCTCGAATACAAAGTTGAATCAGGAGCACTACAAGGTTGACACGAAGCTTCAAATTGAGATGCAAGATGTTGTTCGCGTGAGATTAATCCCTAATTTTTTTTTATTACTTGAAACTTGTGATTCACCTTTGCATGTTGAGTTGACTCTTATGAAGGATCATTATTTGATATGAGGATGTGTTTGGATTCCAATTGTGATTTATTTTCACATCGATGAAGCTTCGACACCTATTCCGAATATTCTACCTCTGACTGCTTGTTTGTTGATGCCAACTCGCGTGAAGTATTCTGAGTTTCTTTTCTTTAGTTGGACTTTTTGCAGATATTATTGTTCATTTGGTATTATACTGCTTCCAATTTATTTTCCTGCGCATTTATCGTTTCTATATATCATGAGAAGTAGGAAATAAAGAGCGTGCGCTCAAAGTTGATGTTTAAAGACCTATAGCAGGCATTCTGCACTTCATTTATCATATGTGTTATGCTTGTGTTTGTTTCCTCTTTTGTTGATCGATGAGTCACTCAATTTAGAAATTAAGATCACGGCTTCGCTCTCAGTGTATGCTCCCTATAGGATTTTATCGCTCTCATTTACTTCTTGTTGATCGATGAGTCACTCAATTTAGAAATTGAGATCACGACTTCGCTCTCATTATATGTTCCCTATAGGATATTTTGTTAGATTTTCTTTGGCATGCTAACCTTGATAGGATTACTCATTGTATGATAACATTAGGTAGGTTAGATTCAGTTTAGTCTCCCTTTAGACTTTTCTTTCCCCTTTTGCATTTGCATTAAGGCAAAAACTTCTTTTTCTTGCAAACTTCAAGACACTTAAAGATTACTGATGAGAGTCATACCTTTGTTGAGTATGGGAAATGATAAGCCAGTTTCTTCACGGTCTTATTGTTCCTCCATTCTAAGCCTTGGTATGGTTCAAGTCTTGAAGACTTACTTCATGAATAAGTAGAGAAATGGCTAATATCTCTCTCTTGAGATTAACTAGTCGTTATTTGCAGCAAAAACACCAACCAACACAAACTATTTTGCCTTTGGGCTTTTCTTTCAAAATTCTTTCTAAAAGGACATGTTAAGTCACTTCTGTGCTGACGTGTAAGTCTCCAAAGGTCGAGTTGCGGAAGAAGAAGAGATTGATATTGTTCATTAAAAAACACAAACAAAAAAAATATGTGAGCCGAACTACGGTGCTCTGATTCCTTAAAAGGGATACGTAGGCATCTGGTCACGGGGCTCAGCCGAGCGAAAATTTGTAAATATTTCCTTCTTTTCCCCGTGTCTTCTTTGCATGCATTCCATATTAGTTTATAACTCTTAAGCATTAGATTGAACACACCCTTTGATTAGAATAACAAGAGTGGATCCTGTAGAGTACTATGGACGTGTGGGGTGCTAATACCTTCCCCTCGCGTAATCCACTCCCTTACCCAATCTCTCGGTTGCAAGACCTTGATTTCCCCTTTTATATTTTTCTTCAATGATTTTCCCTTTCCCTTTTGTGGGATAAGTAAATACTCAGTGGCGACTTCATTGATTTTACCGCTGCAAAAAAATGGCGACTTCACTAGGGAGTGCTAATACGTCTCGTGAGTCAATCCTAGCTCCCATTTTTATTTCTTAGGGTGTTTGTCATTTTTCTTTTATAGCTTATTCATTTGTATATGTTTGAGCAAAATTTTACATTGCATCTTTATTGTTATTTGTTATATTGTTGTTGTGTTGGCTTCTCTGTTTCTTTGTTGGGTAGGTGTTAATACTGAGGTAAAAGGCCCAATACCCAGGCCAGAGTGCACTAGGACACTAGGAATAGAGTTGGGGTATGACGGCTATAGGACATGGTCCGATTAGTACAGTCATGTCATATACCACGCTCGGATGAGGTTTAAATGGATGACTATCGACACCTATGTATGTGGGTAAGGCCGTAGTATTTTCAGGCGGACCCGTAATTTTGAGTTACCTTCGACCTACCCTGACCTAGTCTTTACCCGTGAGTAGGGAGGGAATAATATTTACAGGTACAGATGGTGACTATATACATGTTCTGCTTGTGACTTTGGTTCTTGGTATTTTGATTTGGTCCAGACTTTTGATCTTTTTACGTGTGACCTTGGTTCTATTATCAGTTCAACATCTATTCAGTACCGCGGAAGCTTTGATCCCACATGTTTGTATACATAGCATGTTAATGTAATTATCAGCATACATGTTTTCGTTTCCAAACATCATTTCCTTGATTCCAATTGTTAAGCCAAAAAAATAAGCATTGAAAAAATATATAATAAATATAAGAAAAATATATATATGATAATACCGCGGCTTAGTAACAGTAATCAAAGCATAGAAACTTTTGGAAATGAAAATGTGGCATTTACATTACATATCATGCATCATGTTACATTTGACTATGCATTTCATGAGTTTCCCAAAAGTCTTACCGAAGGTCCTTTGGTCTTCAGAATCAAGATGTCTCACTGGTACAACACTCGAGCCAACTATAAGAAGAAGATGGAAAATCTCGAACAGGAGAATCGCAAACTGCGCGAAGAGGTTACCTCTTTAAAAACTAGAATGGCGAACTTAACTGCTTTGGTAGAGTCGTTGGTGGCTGCACAGAATTAGCCACCACCACGTTCACCTCCTCATGCTACGCAACTACAACAAGCAACAATTATCTCTGAAATTACGACAGTTCCTGTCTCAGTTGCTTCAAATACTACTGTTGCTCAGCATCGCATTCCTCCTGGTTATCCATGGGGGATGCCCGAAGGTTATATGCCAGAAGGATATAACCCTGCTGCTCAAATAGCTCAGCCTGTTCAATAAGTTATGGCTTCTGCCCCTCCTGTGGTACACGTTACTCCTATTGTTAATAATGAGATATGTCATGTTGTGCCTCCAGTAATGAATGTTTTCCCTGTTATTAATGATGTGATTCATCATACTACTTCCCCACCAAGTGAAGGAATTGGATTCTATGAAAGAATGGATGACTTCCAAGATCACTTTAATGATATGCGAAAAGAAATGAAGGCCCTCGAGGGAAAAAAGTTGTTTGGATAGAATGTAAGTGATCTATGCTTAGTTCCAAATGTAAAAGTACCTGTGAAATTTAAAGTACCGGAATTCGAGAAATACAAGGGCAATACTTGCCCCCGTGCTCACCTGGTGATGTATGTGAGAAGGATGTCCACTCACACTGATGATCAACGTTTGCTAATCCATTTCTTTCAAGATAGTCTGACTGGTGATGCGTTGAAATGGTACATGAGCTTGGATAGTGCCAATATTCATACCTTCAACGACCTAGGATAAGCGTTTGTTAAGTAATACAAGTATAATGTGGACATGGCACCTGACTGTGATCAACTCAGGGCTATGGTTCAAAAAGACAAGGAGTCGTTTAAGGAATACGCACAAAGGTGGCATGAAGTGGTCGCCCAGGTAATCCCTCCAATGGAAGAGAAGGAGATGACAAAGATCTTTCTAAAGACTTTAGGTTCCTTCTACTATTAAAGAATGGTGGAGAGTGCGCCAAGTGATTTCACTGAAATAGTGGGTATGGGTGTTCGCTTAGAAGAAGCTGTAAGTGAAGGCCGTTTGACAAGAGATGAAGATTCCAGTGGTACAAAAAAACCGCCATATGGATTAGCTAGAAATAAAGAAAGAAATACAAATGTTGTTGTTCAAGAGAGAAGAGCTAAACCTCCTAGAAGGCGTCATGTGCATCAACAACAGGTTGCTTCAGTGACTCCAGTTGTTAACGT